CCCCTGAGGAAGAACATCTTAAGAGTTTACACTGTTAGGTAATGTGTGCATAAGATCTTTGGTTCAATCCCCAGCAATTGCAGCAGGGGCTTGGAAAAACTGCTAACTGAAGCCCTTGTCAATCAGCATAGACAATACTGAGTGAGGAGAACTAATGGTCCTGGTTTTAAAAAAGAAAAGGGAAGAAAGTAGGTCATATGAAATTGATGGAGCATACTGGCTAAGAGGCTGTGTTATGAACCAGGAGCTCCTCAGTTCCAATCTTGTCTCTTCCATGGACTCACTGGTTAGCTAGGAAAGCCACTTCCTTTCAACCCCAGTCCTCCTCTCTGGAAGACTTCACTTACAAATTTGTTGTAAGGTTTACAACTAGGAGCACACCACAAAGTATACTTAGGTGGTGGTGGTGGTGGTGAATTCTCCCCTGATTTTTTCCTCCCTAGTTTTTGTTTGTTTTGATGCAAACCTAAAGGCTTTCTCTTAGGTCTGATGAATACCTCCCCGCACCCTTGAGTGTGTGAGGCTGTTTTGACTACATAAGCAATGGGAAACACAGAATGCTGGTTGTGTCTGCCCTGTATGGAGTGCCCTGCTGCAGCTCTGTCCACTCTCTTACTGTAATCTAAAATGGCACCCCTGTGGAGTGGTCCAATCTTGTACCTTTTCCCTGAACCTTTGTGAGACTCAAGAGAAAACAGGGAGTAGTGAGTGACTCATTAAAGGTCTATTCAAGGCTCTGTGGTATAGGACTCGAAGGACTCACCAACACTTCTGCTTTCCCCATGCTTTCTAGACACAGGTGTGAGCTTTTGTTTGCCCTGAAGCTTTTCCTGAGAAAACCATGTGCTTCCTGCCGAATTGTCGCAAGTATCAGTTTTCGGATTGACGTTTGTTCCGATTTAGCGGTGAACAGTGGGTTTCCTTGGGGGAAGTGGTGGGGCAAATGAAAAACCTCTCAGACCTGTGCCTAAAAAGCATGGAACAAGCGGAAGAAAAAACAAAACAAGTGGAAGTGTGGACATTCTCTAAGACAACACATCAAAATGATTAACAGACGTCTCCCTACACTTGCTGTCTTCTGACCCCCCCAACCCCCAGTTTATAGATAAGGGAGCGAACATCATGCTGTTGAAATAGAATCTTTTCCACTGCTTTGATCTTAATCTCTAGAGAAACATGTTAACTTTAATTTTGCTGGAAGCTATATTTTGTGTTTGAGTAAATCAGATAAAGAAAGACTCCAAAGACCTGGCGCTACGCACATTACTGGACTACAAAGGTTGTCTGGTTCTTTCATTGTCTGCCTTATTTCCAAACACAGCGAACGTACAGTGAGTCACTGAATTGTTGCTTACACATGTGTAGAACCAGTGGCTATAAATATTATTCTGGGTCAGTGGCCCATCTGATCAATTGTTCTCAGCCTTTCTAACATTTTATACCAAATCTAGAATTGCCATCTTAACAAAGCAACCTACTAGAATGCAGCCCCCTCCTAGCATCTGCTGCCATGATTTAGATGTTCCAAATCCAAAGGATGCTGCAGCATTAAGGTGGCTACATCAAGCATCCTTGATCCTTCCTGCTCTGTGACAATTCTAATCCATTTCCAAGTGTCTGTTCTCTTTCATGCCTTTGATCATTAAAGCCTAATAACCCCATTTTAACAAAACTTTCAAATTGTTAAAAGGGATGCGGGTGGCGCTCCGGTCTAAAGCACAGAGCCTAGGGCTTGCCGATCAGAAGGTTGGCAGTTCGAATTCCTGTGATGGGGTGAGCTCCCGTTCAGTCCCTGCTCCTGCCAACCTAGCAGTTTGAAAGCACGTCAAAGTGCAAGTAGATAAATAGGTACCACTCCAGTGGGAAGGTAAACGGAGTTTCTGTCCGCTGCTCTGGTTTGCCAGAAGTGGCTTAGTCATGCTGGCCACATGACCCGGAAGCTGTACATTGGTTCCCTCGGCCAGTAAAGCGAGATGAGTGTCGCAACCCCAGAGTCGTCTGCGACTGGACCTAATGGTTAGGGGTCCCTTTACCTTTACCTTACAAATTGTTAAAAATAGACTGCTGGTTTTTAATTTTTTTTTTTTTGAGATGAACCAATCATTTTGGGTGACCTAATTAAACCTTACAGAAATAGATGATAATATACCAAATAACGTAAAGCCTTTAAAAGGTTGCTTGGTGGTATCCGTTACCACTCTGTTTCTCATGAACCTAATAGAGGTCTTTGAGACCTAGTTTTGTAAAGAAAAACAGAACCCTAGATTTTTGAAAGTCCAGTTACACTACGTCAATCAGATCACCAATATCTATATGCTTGCCATCACTCTCAAAGACCTCTAATAAGTTCATGAGAAAAAATTACCTTTGAAGAAACCATGCTGGCTATGCTTCAGCAGGGCTTGTTCTTCTATATATTTTATATATGTTTTACTGTGGTTTTATAATGGTTGGAAGCCATCCAGAGTAGCTGGGGTAACTCAGTCAGATGGGTGGCATCTAAATAAATAAATACTTATGCGCTTGCATATTTTATTTTTAATATTATATTCCAGCAGCCTGTAATTTCCAGGAACCCCCTTGGATCATTTTTTAAAAATTGGTGTTACATTGGTTACTTTTCAGTCCTCAGAGATGGAGAATGACCTGAGGAGCATTACATATTTTTGCTAGAAGACCAGCAATTTCACATTTGAGTTCTTTGAGAACTCTCAGGTAGACGCTGTTCTTTTCATCTGGCAGGCTTCTTGCCTCTAATAGCTGATAGCTGACTGCTAACTACGCCGGCATCTTTGCTTTTTCATGTTGTTGTCTCCCCCCATGAGTTTAGTCTTGATAGAAAAACTTTGAAGAATCATACAATAAAAGTCTGCATATCACAGGAATATTGTATACAAGCATAGAGGCTCTGAAGCCTATAGAGCAATCAGGATTTCCCCAGTCACTTCAGTGTGAGAGGCAGAGTCTCTTGCTGGCAAAAGGATGCATTCATGGAACTGTCCCTTTCCCAGTTAAGTGAATGGGAATGCTTGGGTGCTCAAGAGTTCTGTGCACACACACAAAACACAGAGAGCAGTTGGGACCCTAAAATTGGGAGACTGAGTATTGCATAGGTCACTGACGATCAGAGCCATCTTCAAACAAGCTTGCTTTTTCCTAAGGTCAATGTCACAAAGCAAACATTTTCTTTAGATTTCTACACATTATGCAGCCTCAATCCTAGTGACCTGGATGGCAGCAAAATGAAATTCTTAGCAATGTGGTAACAGATTTATGGATAGATTTGTTCCAGCCAGCTCGGGGGGGGGGGGGGGAGAGATATGTTAAGAAATGTCAAGCAATTGTATGATATGAAGAAAAATACGAGAACGAACATCAGATGGGAACAGACCAGATGTGAGAAAATGGTCTTCTCAGGGAAAGTATGTGAACAGCTGGGGGGGGGGGATATGTTGTTAAAACAAGGAAGACTGAAGAAGAAATATTACAGGGCATCAGTTCCAATGCCCACCATCCTAATCAATAGTTTTAAACAGATTCCTAATGCAAAATGAGTATGGGATATTAAATAGTACTGTATAAAATGACCTTCAGTTATAGGAAAGTTTCCTTTATATGCTTACTGATACAAGATGGGCATAGCACACACACACACACACACACACACACACACACACGAGAGGGGCAATGAGAATGAGAACACACACATGGTGAAGAAATTGCCACATTGAATGCCCTGCTGACTCATTGCAACCAGGTTGGAATGAACCATTTCCCCCTTCCCCATTGATTCTAATGTGAGGGGATTTGCTGATTCGGGATGGGGTAATGTTGGGGAAATAAGGGTATTAGGAATAGTGATGGTCGCTGAGCTTGCCACTGTATGGGATGGAGGCGAGGCTCCTGTGTCAGACCTCTCTCTCCACTAGCACATCCACAGTCATGAGCACAAACTGATCAAAAGGATCAAAATACTATGGATGGCCAGCACTGATTTAAAGGCTCATGCGGCCAGAAAAAGTAAGGGTGGAAAGTACAACAGAAAAGAGCTGAGTAACAAACAAACTGCACAATTCTACAAGGAATGAAACATGCCTTATAAATCTGATTATACACATTGATTTGTACCATTCCATTTGAATGGAAGTTTCTTCCAGATAGTGTACGGTATGTAGCTTTATTATGTGTTTTCACTGACAATAGCCTAGGAGGCTACATTATTATGCACATTTATGTGGGACTAAGCCCCATGGAGCGCATGCATGGAGGACTTGAATCTGAGAAAAACGTCATAATATTTCTTTGCATAGCAGATATGTTGAATGGAAGGGTAGGCGGGAGAAAATGGCAGGTGAACTGTAACTATAATTACTTTAACCACAAATTGTTTCTAAGAATTATACCATTTAGCAGACACACCACCCCTCCAAACAACTGTTTCAGTTTTTTTCTTTTTTGGTACAAGTAACTGAGTTTGCTTGAATTTGCTTCGTTAATTTTGCCGTCATATTGGCAGCACAAAATAGTATATGGAGACATTTTTGAAAAACCACACACACACACACACACACACACACACACAGAGAGAGAGAGAGAGAGGCAACATAGAACATTTAATAATAGGAATGATTCATAATTTTCAGGTAACCCAAATTTCACAACATTGACAACGTATGACCTGATAGCCAGTAGGCAAACTGCAACTTCTGTTAGAACTACTACCACCCACATAATCTCTCAGCAATTCTTAATACCGGTTAGTTCTTCCAAGTATAAAATGAGCATCTATTCTTTATTCCCCATGTGAGTTCCTTTCTTTGGCCATATAGCTGAAATCTTAACTTTCATACGGTACATACAGAACTATAGGGAGGAGAGGAACCTGAAATTCTCCATTATGTTGTGAGTGGGAAGATCCTTGATATTGCTGTGAACAACTTTTTAAATAATCAAGTTTCATATATTAGAGAGCTAGAAATGTAAGTTACTCAGATACTCACATTTTTCTACCAGTTGCCTCTTCTGATGCTTGGACAGGATGAGGAAAGATTGTAGATTTTCAGAGAAAGGGATCCAAGAGAAACAAGCATAGCCTGCCAGATCTGTTTTGTCTCCTATGGGATTCCCTTGGTTCTGCAGTAGGCAGCCAAAAAGATTACTCTGTTTCCTTTAGACCTCAAACAGCTGGGTCTCTTGCTGTTTTGTCATATACTGTCTGTGTTGGGAGTTAAACACAGAGCATGTAGGAGGACCATGAAGGGCTCTTATATTTCAGAAAGGAGGAGGAGATGTTTCAAAATCTGAAAATATTAACAGTCACAAATGGCACACAAGAACAGCCCCCTAACTGCGCTTGCCATGTTATGACAGCTGCACATCAGCAGAGTACCATCCTTTGTAGCTTAAACTTGGAAGCTGACAAGGCTGATTTAGAAGCAACAATCCAAGATGCTTTAATGCTGGCTTAAAAACAATAAAAGATTGTTTTGTGAAGAACTAAAAGTAGCCTTTACTTACATAATCTAGGTCTTGAAGCAGCAATTATGGTAGCAAAATGAAGGCAGATTAATAACTACTAAGGTAAAGGTACCTCTGACCGTTAGGTCCAGTCGCAGACAACTCTGGGGTTGCGCGCTCATCTCGCTCTATAGGCCGAGGGAGCCGGCGTTTGTCGGCAGACAGCTTTCGGGTCATGTGGCCAGCATCACCCGTGTCCCTAACTACTAAGTTACAAAAGTACAAAATGTACATTCAAAAATGGTTTCTGAGCTGCAGAGCTGACATGCCTGGTGAAATCAGCTTGGAAGCATGAATAAGAGAGAAATGCCTAGGCAGAAAGTATGTAGTGTTAGGGCCAGCTTCCTGCTAATACAAAGGAAGTGATCTTACAGAGTTCTCTGTAGTAAATTTTTACAGCTTTGTGAGCCTCAGGCCCTTCACGTGCCTATCTGGCAAAACATGGATTGTTCATTTGACTGCAATAATGTCCCACACTCCATAAAGCGTCCTTGGGACTCGTCTCTGAAGCAGCAACCATCAAGAGGAAACATTCTAAGCAGATATACGATAGGTTCCACAGCCTTGAGATTAGATTATAGCTTGGTAAATTGGGATAGTAGTGGGAAAGTATAGGTAATATTTGCTTCTGTTGCACCTGAAGTGCAGGTCCACATATTGGGGGGGGGGGAATAGGCCCCTTTTCAGCTCCTGCAGGCCACACACCAGCCAAGTTGGTGGGGGGGGCTAAAGTGAAAGGATGCTAAAGATACCTTTGCACAAGAGGCTTCTTTCTACATGCTCTCTTGATCCTCCATTCAGGCAAGCAAAAAGAGCAATGAGAGTTAAGGATAAATTCAAGCTAGGCAAAGTAACCCTCAAGGAGGTTGCAGTGTAGAGAGAGCCAGTGTGGTGTAGTGGTTAAGAGTGGTAGACTCGTAATCTGGTGAACCGGGTTTGCTTCCCGGCTCCTCCACATGCAGCTGCTGGATGACCTTGGTCTAGTCACACTTCTCTGAAGTCTCTCAGCCCCGCTCACCTCACAGAGTATTTGTTGTGGGGGAGGAAGGGAAAGGAGATTGTTAGTCGCTTTGAGACTCCTTAGGGTAGTGATAAAGCGGCACATCAAATCCAAACTCTTCTTCTTGTTCTCTTCTTCTAGGGCTCCTGACCTGAGATTTTGAAACCCAGGTAGAGTCCCCGAGGGCCACATTTGGCCTCAGGGACTGAAGTTGCCCATCCCTGGTGTATCATGTTGGCTCGCCAACTAGTGGAAGCCTCACTAGGCTCATACCTGGGCCACACCTGGGTAAATTTGCAATATGCTCTAATGCAGAGGTAAACACACAGGATTATGCTGACATTCTGTCTCTGATCTCTTGCCTTGCCTTATCAATCTACAATGGATTCACTTCTAAACCTGAACCTCCGGACCAAGTATATCTGCTTCTCTCTGCCAAGTACTCCCTGTTCTCCCTACCCACTCTGGCAGGCATGCAACTTTTAAGGCTGTGGCCATAGTCCAAAAGTTAACAAAAACCTGCTTTCATCATTTGCTTTATCCGCTGAACCAAAGCTGGAATTGGAGGCTCAGTGAGGGACAGCAGTGGGAAATCTGTTGTTGGACTCCCAACTCTAGCCACTATCATTCTCACTATTATCATTACTATTAAATTTATTATCTGCCATTGACTGGCAGGTCCCAGGGCAGGCTACAACAATTTAAGATTCAATATTAAAAACAGGTATGTGTCCTGAAAACACCAATCCCAGGTGCCAAATGCCAGGATAAAGAGGCGTATCCTTAGCATACGTTGGCAACTCAGGATGTAGTAGATTTGGAAAGCCATTGTGGGTCACTGGTTAACCTGCTGCCACTCCCAGTTTAGAATTCCATATAGGCTGTATATTGTAGGTCATGGTGGTGACACAGGGCATACTGGAGACTTCAGACACCTGCTTCTTAGCTTGCTTGCCGCTTCCATGTGGTTCTAAAACTACTGATTTGTGATTCTCAGTCATCTATTGCTCTCCAGTTTCTGATGTAGGAAGTCTGCTTCAGAATGGATCGTGATTTGTACAATTACACGGTGTAAAGTAAAAGGAGGTCCTGTAGGTTAATATAGTCATTTAATGAGTTTATGTAACAACAGCTACATTTTTTAAATTAAAAAAACACACCACACAACTTATTTCAGATGGACTACAGGTTCCTGTACACATTTGGTTGAAGTATGGTCCCCTTTGGTCGTAGACATCATTGTGGAGATATTTTTTTATCATTCCAATTTAACTGGGCACCCTGATGAAGGTGCTTGAATTTTTGTGTGCATCAAAAATTCACGTGAGGAGAGAAAAACATTGTGATTCTTTTGAGAGGAGTAACATAATCTTCAATCTTATTGCCCCCATATTTTCATTGCAAACGTTCAAAATCATTTTCCATTTTACAATAACAGTAGTAACAGGAGAAGCACGAAAGGTAGAAGGGCTTCATGGAAAAAAGCAGCAGCACTGAGCAAGGAGAGCTTATGTAAGAAAACTTGAAGGAAGAAAAAAAATGAACAGGAAGAGATGGGAGTAATACAAGGCGAACAACGAATAAATACTAAGAATGGGAACCAGCATGGAAAATTCTGTGGGGATGCAAATGACAAAGGGAACGAGGGAAAGACTAAAACTTCTTCTAGTGGGGCAGATATTCCTGCCATTTTCAAACCAATCACATTTTAAAGGAATCCAAGTTTGCTTCCACTTCAGACACAGCTGCCTTGCCATAGCTCCCTTTCTTTTGTCTGGCTTGGAGCCAATCTGCATGAGTTACATCATGAATGCAGAGAAAGCTGGCTTAAGGGCAGGCAGAACTTGGCATCAAAACTTGTTCGCAGTCAAGTATCCGCAAAAGAAACCCAAAGTTGCTGCAAAGTAACTTAATACAATGGGAAACAGCAATGCTTTTTTGTTGTTGTTAAACCAAATGTTCCATACAAAAAAGAAAGTATGATGTCACTTATACCCCTAAGAGGTATAAATGCATCTAAATTACAGCAAACAGCAGGAACAGCAATGAAAAGAGTTACGCCTGGCACAAACAATAACAAAAATCTCACTGAATGGCAGTTCGGGAGAATGATTTGCTCAATAAAACCAAGACTTGTACAAAGACCTGACATAGGAACTAATGATAACCTTTTCCTAGTCTTTTCTTCTTTAAATGGATTAAATATTGTGTCTCATAATAAAGGTATTACAAAGTTATAAACACCAGAGTGAAATACTATTAAACGTCACATGTATCTAGCAATGGGACATCACAGAGTGTGTTTAAGAGATCACTTTAATGGGCATTTGTCAACATTTGTCCTCTAGCAATGATCTTAAGTGTCTCTGACACCCTCCCCCCCCCGAACAAACTGGTTATATATGCTAATATTAGGACTAAAATAATTTGGGGATGCTAACTTTTTTAACCACAACAATTTCTCTCCATAATGTTAAAATGACACAGAGCACTGTGTATTCCTGATACACAAACACACAATTAATTTGTCTGCAAAAAGGCTCTAGTGACATTTCATTTTTAAGTGGTTAGTAATTTGTAAAGGAAAAATACAGAATCCAGAGATATATGGTTGACTTCTGAGTCCTGAGTAGTAGAACTCTTACAGGTGAAAATTTAGCCAATTCTTTCTTCTCTCTGAAGTGCCCTATATCTCATAGAAATCAGCGCTGGAGAGTTGGCAGGGTCTCTGTAGCAAAGGATGGAGAAATGAAAGGGCTGTTCGGGGGAGGGGGTTGTTTTCTCCCCTTCTATCTGTGAGAATGTCCAGTTAACAGAAATGTAAGGACACCTTCCATTTGCATATAAGCAACAACCTTTTGAATAAATGACATCTCTTTATGTAAGGAAAACACAAGCATTGTGCGAGAACATATTTGGTGAATATGTAGGCTTTGAGATTTCAAAGAACTCATCAGACAGAATTCTATGAAACGCAAAAAGTTGCATAGTCCTACACCAAGTTCCAATCCAACAGTTTTAAAAAAATATGCTCAACGTCTTCCATCCTTTGAGACCAACACTGTTTCTGTGGCCTACAAAACTGAGAATTCTTAACTCTATAAAAGCTAAATAAATGCTTTGTTCAGTTGCCAGATATTACAAAAATATTTTTAAAGACAAATTCTCCCTTTGGTTATGCTGCCTTGCATTTTCAACAAGCAGTTCAGTTCTTTTTGCCAACCACATGGTTGTTGTGTTTAGGACTGTAGTATAATTATTACAAACACAGCTCCTAAAAGCCAAGGCTATTTCAAGCATTATCACAGTTTTCCTCAAAGAAAACACCCCAACTCTTTGAACATCCTGAATGAGTTTTATTAAGATTATCATTCCTCTGTTACAGAAGATTTTCTGGGCCTGAGAACAAGGTCTTTGACAGAGCCAGCCAGCTCCTGGAGTTCTTTCCGGATTGCCTCTATGCTTTCTTCTGCATTCAGGTTGTTATCCACTGAGTCGTCGTCCCCTTGCCCAATCTTCTTATTTTGACTTATCAGCTGTTTCACTACTAACCCCTGGTATTTGACAAGAAGAGAATGCTGATCCTGAAAAATGAAACAAAATGTGGCTACTAAGAAGGCAATATGAGCAACTTAAAATCAAATGGTGGTTGTGTTAGTTCATAAAGAAGAACCCGCAGTGAGAAAAGCAACTTCCTTCAAGCATATTATGATCACATCTCAAAGAATCAAACCAAATGAGTTCTGTTTTAACATGATTTACATACCGCTTAGTCATCAAAACCTCTAATCTGTTCACATAAAATATATACCAAGATTAAAATCACGTTCCAAAAAGATAACCTTAACATTTCCTTCAAAATACAAATGAGTGATTTTATTTTTGTCTAATATTAATGGGCAGATCATTAAAAAAAATCTATTTTAAATATTGCATCCCCTATTTACAGTTTTCCCTGGAAGACCACTGCACTGTAATATTGCACAGTAGCTGCTTCCCTTAAATTCAGTAGAGCACATACCTAATTTTCTCCCTTGTTATATATAGTTCACACACATAGTTTACTATATGTGCTTAATGAGAATTCTATGTTGTGGAAATTAATTACTGAACCAGTCGCAGAAATGTCCACTTTCATCCCTCTGCATACATGTATATAATCCTATACATATTTACTTTTACTGATTTCCATACAATTTACTCCTAGAAAGTGTGTACAGGATTTCAGCCTAAGTCAATAAAAAATAAATAAATAAAGTGGTTTCTGTGAATGCCAGCATTTTCTCAACTTTTGAAAAGAGGAATTTACAACACTTCTTGGTTTTTCCACTGTAAGTACCTCTGGGATCTTTGTACTTAAGAAAGTAATGATCTGTGGCACGCATCTTCCGGGTGCATGAAGCATGCAGTGTGTTGAGAACTGGAACAGCAAGACTGATGTCAGGTGAAGAACAAGAGCTGGATCTTCTGTGACTTTCAGCTGTTCAATCAGAGCTTGTCTGTGTTGGAACAGGATTTGCCTGAGACAAGAAACAGGATGTATGATGAAAAAAGGCTTTTACCTGTTTAACCACTTGCAGATTTCGGATAATGGTGAATTAATCTGTAAGACAATGTTCCTTGAAAACAAAAGTTTTGGACTTGGACCACAGTTCAAAACTATAGTTCCACTGTCCTCTTCTGGGAGGCCATAACTAGAAACTCTCACCTTCCCATTTGTATGATCTAAGGCCTTTTAGAGTGGGTGGCATGTTTTTAATGTTTCTCTCTCCCCATTCCCTCTTTTAATAGATGTACTACTATTGTTTTGAGATGCCTGTGGCAAAAAGGAAACAAATAAACTTAGTAATAATAATACTAGTACAAGGAAAATGACGGCAACTTCACAAATACTTTAAAAAGCTGAATACTATTCTACCCATTAACAGGAATGAAAAAGAGCAATTTGCTGGTGCATAATCAAAAAGAGGAATTTGCTGGTGCATAATCAAAAAGAGGAATTTGCTGATGCCACCAAATCCACTCATTATACCTCTCTTTTATCATGGAAATCAGGGCGGCATATGTGGGTACCAGGCAGTCTCCTACCCAGGTTCTGACCAGACTTGGCTTAGATTCTGCAAGAGTCCTGTGAACTTCAGGTCATGCATTATTACCATCCCATATATTTCTCCAAACGCTGTTGGAAGTGCCATGAGGTTAAGCGACTCTATTGGACAGATTTAGGAAACCAAGACTACAGTACAAGAACATTAATTGCTACTGCTTGCAGAATGATAGAGGGCTTCTATGATGATAATAAATTATGAATACTGCTATTTCTAGCTAGTTAGCTATGACTCCACCAACTGGTCAATGTGTCTTTTCTCTTAAGTGGCCTTAATGTTAAAGCACCTCCCCACTGGTAGCCACGTGGTAGTAAAACCAACTACCTTTAATGAGGACAAATATGTGTAAACACACTGTTGAAGTATCTTTCTGTATTTTTTAAAGGATGCTGTTTCCAATTCCAGTTTAATAAAGTTGAAAGCATTTAATGTCAAATTTAGGACTCATAAGCTGCAAGTTTTTATGTGTGCAATATATATACAAGTCTATTTAGAAATAGAACCCATTGCGTTCAATGAGATGGATTACAAGGTAAGTAGGCAGTGGTTTTTTATTTCTTAAAAAATGTTTAGGGGTACTCTCATTTTCTTACTCATATTGAAATACTGCCCCTCAATGAGGCCAAACTTAGATTCACAAGATGTTTAGAGGTATCCGTACTCCTACATCCGCCCCCAGAAAAAAAGCACTGTCAGTAGGTATATGTATTCTTAATATAAAAGGATTTTAAACAGCCACAGAATGAAGATGTGTAACTTGTCAAGAGACTTGAATTTAACTTTTGTCCTTCCTAACTGTGAAGGATCTTAAATGAGCATGGGGTGGGGGTGGGGAAGGCATGGCTAGATACCACCAAGAAAGCTTAGGTCATAAGCAAAAAGCTGGAAAGTATCATTTCTGGAAAATCAACTTACATTAAAGCATATTTATCACCCTATTCCTTCGAGTATAAAGACTAGTTTGCCAGTGACGAAGCAACGACGTTTGCACCTATCATTCTGAAAAAGTGATCACCTGTAGAAGCCTACGGAGGGAAACTATGTATTGCAAAAATATTACCTTTCTTTCTTCTTATCACCTTTTTTCACCATAATATCACAAGCTTCTGCAGCAGCATCGAGACAGGAAACAAACTCTTCTAAGCTCTTCAAAAGAAGCAGAACAAAAAGAATAGCAAAGCTATTATCTCCTTTAAATTCAGTGCGAGGTTTTCCACACAGGTTGAGAGAAGCTCACCTAATGTGGAGTGTCATGACTTCCTTCTACACACAGAGGTATCTGATATTTTGCCTATATTGTATCCTTTGCTGTTTCCCCCATCCCTCTTGCTTTTTTCACACCTATGAATAAAATGCTCGCTCTCAGTTTATTTCGCTTACAGTTTGCCTATTTCGAAATTGACTATTAAGGGGAAAGTGAAGAACAAAATCCTTTACTAAATTAAGAATGACAAACCAAATAAAACTACACTTCTTTAGGAGAGTGGGTGCAGATTGGATGCCTGAAACTTACCTTGCCATTCAGAGAAATGTGGAGTTTTGTTAAAGGACCTCTTGTCTCTTCAGATAAAGTACTCAAAATCTTTTTCCTCATCTATTTGAAGAAGTGTGCAAATCAATGAAGGTAATTTTAGATTCCAATGAACAACATGTTTTGGTCAATAAACTTAAATGAAAATAAGAAAGTAGTCTTAGAAACACTAATCTTCTATGGCAGGGGTCAACCTTATTGGGCCTTGTGACATATTTGCAAACCAGAGGAATGGTCATGGGCACCTTGCACACTGCACAAACCACATTTAGGCTTGAAAAAAGTGATTTTGTCGCACTGCCCCCAGATAATGGGGTGTTTGTCACCTTCCTGACAAGAGCCAATTTTCTCCCCACAGCTATAGTGTCCTGGAAGATCACCCCCATAACAATTAGGCTCGAGAAAAGCCTTCTGTTGCAGTTAGGCGGGGAGCAATTTTGAGGGGGGTACATAAGAGAAGGAAAAGAGTAATCCTTTCCTCCTCAGCTGCAACCCCCCACTAACTCAGAATCACCCCTTCTTCACATCAATTAGGCTTTAATATTGTTGCAAATAGAAGGGCTCTGTGAAATTTAATTGCGTATGTACGGTGAGGTCAGTCCGGAGGGTCACAACCGTGGGCCGAGTTTATTGTACCACCATGCCCCCAAAATGCAATTTGCTTTGAAATAAATAAGCTACAATTGAAGTTTTCTTCTAAGCCTAATTTCAGCAGGGGGAGACATGTGGAGGCAGGGCCCTGTGGCCAGCAGAGAAGGTCTCTGCAGGCACTGTGCCGGAGACCTACAGACAGGGAGCAGCCATAGGAAAAATGTCTGTAGGGGTTGTGGAGATCTAAGCTATCTTATAAGCACAGGAACCCATGCCCTACAACAGGGTCTAGGAACCAATAGATAGCCAAATGCTATTAGACTACAACTCCCATCATCCCTGACCACTGGCCATGCTGGCTGGGGCGGATAGGAATTGGAGTTCATCAATAACACCTGAAGCACAGGTCCCCCCTCCCCCTTGTCCAGCTCTACAATGAGGGTGGGGGGGGATATGAACTAACTGCTTTAAGAATCTGTGAAGATAATAGGAAATCGTTTCAAAGTACCTCGGTGGTAATGGCAGTGTAGTCTTCTGCTGCCATCATTTGATCAGCAGCTAGGCAGTTGAAGATGAGGTTAGTGATGTCAGTGCAAAACGTCTTCAGCATGTGCTTGGCAATGTTACTTTGCGTCTCATCTGCAAAACAGATTTTTTGCAATTAAAAAGACAATTTGTAAATATTTGAATATTACATTAGCCAATCTAGAGAGGCCTCAGCCTTTTTTCCAACCACAAAGCATCTTACGCTCTGCTTCCAGCTGCTTTTACAGGTGTTAAAATGTCTGTGGCATCACAATGCATGAAAGACCTGCAAATGTTATTGGAAAGGTCAGACAAGATGTTTCAAACTAGGCCATCTTTTGCTTCAAGCAGAGAAAGCAAATATTAAACTGACTCCTACGGGCAGTTCTGTGCAGATCACAAATGGTAGAATTCAGTGAACATCCACACAAAAATATCTGTGGTAGACAGGGGGAGAAGAATAGAAACCAAAGATGTAAAAAAGAAAAAGTTTAAGTAAATGGATGGGCAGTATCATCACAGAATTGGCAAGAAATAAAATCTAAGTCTAGTCTTCTAGAGTTCTTTTTGAAATCAGAAACTGCCCAGCAACAATGTGTTAAACCACAAATTCATTCTGAAGATAAGTGTGTGGCATCCATTACTGCAAGGATATATATACAGTACTGAGAAATGAAACTTCCCTTTCCTCCCTCCACGTGTGTCCTGTGCGCTCCCCAAATCTGCTCCAGAGCACTGGTGCTTCAATGGGCGGGCCAGGACCCACTGGTGGGTCACAGCCTGCTCTAAGGCGGGTTGTAACAGGAGCACTACCACCATGGAAATATATGGTAAAAGATTGAGAAGCAGATCCCCAAATGCATGTTTAAATGGGAAGGTTGGGTTTAAAAAGCTTGAAGATATTTGCTCCAGTGGTTTGAGGAAACCCTCAGAACAGATTTAAGGTGTGCATGGGAAGGGGGGAGGAAGTTCTGTTGCTCAAGCAGAAATCTAGTGCTACTGGAACTATTTACCTAGCACTACCTTAGATACAATCCAAGCTGTACCTGTAAAATGCTTTGCTCCTTTTTCAAATAATCGGATATTATTATACAGGCTGGACACCTCTTCCTGCAAGTCCTTGATGGTCTTTTTCCTGCTAGCTCCAGAGTAAGTAGAAGTGGAGGACATAAATACAGAACGCACAGCTTCCTGGTAACTCTTGGTCAAGGGCCTAAAGAACCGGGGCGGGGGGGGGGGGAGGGAATACATTAGCAAGAGACTAGTATTTCTCCAAATACTACAGAACCTCAACACAACAAAATAACATGCTTTCCTATCAGAAGTTGAACATTTAAAGCCAAGGGCATTTTAAAAACATCAGATGCAACGGTTTTTTTGGTACACAACACAATGGCTAGAATAGCACTACACAGGCCACTCACATAGCCTGCAGCTGCAGTACTTAACAATGGCAGTTGGCAACAAAGGAGGAGGAGTCTGGCCTGTGTGACTGTTTTAAAAATGATTTCTTTTGCTGGCTTGGAGCTGCTTTTTGTGAGATCAACAACTTTCTGCTGCAGACACATCAGAGAAGGGAGGGTCAGCAGGCTATTTCTCAAGGGCCCAACAAGGCCTGTCTTTTGAACTTTGAGAAGAGAAGAAGAAGAGTTTGGATTTGATATCCCGCTTTATCACTACTCGAAGGAGTCTCAAAGCAGCTAACATTCTCCTTTCCCTTCCTCCCCCACAACAAACACTCTGTGAGGTGAGTGGAGCTGAGAGACTTCAAAGAAGCGTGACTGGCCCAAGGTCACCCAGCAGCTGCATGTGGAGTGGAGACACGAACCTGGTTCCCCAGATTACAAGTCTATCGCTCTTAACCACTACACCACACTGGCTTTGAGCTGTCTGCTTTCATCACACTTGGTTAATATGGGAACCTGGTAACATAAGGTTGCTTGATTTCATCTTCCCTTCCATTTTTTATGGGTTGTAAATTTTTTAGATTGTAGTCGTTGATAGTTACTGCATTTCTTTTATTGACACGTAAGTGACTTGGGGAGCCCTTCTGGCTGAAGAGTGGGATATAAATGCTGTGAATGAATGAATGAAGGCCTTGCAAGATGGAACACCGGAATTTTGATTTTTCATTCAGCTATAGGATGTGTTAGGCACTGTTTAAGTCAAAACTGAGATAAATAATTGAAATTACCTTATTAGATGGTCAGCGAGTTCTGTTATAAGCTCTTCAGGACAGTCCCTTACATGTTTTCTTAAAACATCCTCAATCTCTTCTGGTGACAGAAAAGGGATCTCGAGGTGCTTGCTCTTATCTGCAATGATCATGAGAAACATAATTAGCATCTTCAATTTACTTGAAATCTACCGTGTAAGAACACAAAATACATTTCTCTTAGTACCAGGACTCCTGCAGGTCACAAAAAATAAGCATGTGCCGACTACTGCTATTCACATTATTCAAAACTGCTACTGTATGTTTATGACAGAGCCCTAGATTTTTCCCCTCCCCTTATTTGCTTTTGTGATTGGATTAATTCAGGAGTCATTTGGAAATATCATGGTAAAATGGGCTTTCCCCCAAAAAATTGCTGTTAAATTATATGGATACACTGTTGCCATTTGCAGTAAGTAATGTTACCAGACATGTATCAGAAATGATGCTCTAATGTGAAAAGGTTAAACATTTAAAGCATTCAGGTAAAAAAAAAGGTTTATCCTGGGCTGCATCCAACACTGTGCAAGTGTAAGACAGATAATGCAACTGATCTTCCTTTCCCTTCCTGTAGCTCCCTGTACATCCCTGAAGAACTTCTCCAGGGGGCTGGGGGCACCTGCCAAACGTTGCCAGCTATGACGTGCTGGGCTACAGTACATGTAAATCACCTGAAACCAGGTAATGGAACTTTGCACTACCAGAGTGCTAGCACGTTCCTCCTCACACTTGCAGCCCCATATTAAAACAGCTCACTAAATTCTCTTCATCATATTTTTTTTAGTTCTGTGCTTGACCTTGATTTTTGCTTGAAGTAGCATTTCTGTGTTACCATTAAAAGGATTCATGTCACAATTCAAATAATTATCTTAGAGAAAAAGATAATCATACTAATATATCTGGATACCTTATAGGAGGAATATTTCATTACAAACTCAGTACTGCATTCACAAAACTACAAGGATTAGGTTACTATAGTAGAATAAACTACAAACTTGAGCTGCTTGTTTGTGATTCCTCATCACTGTCAGCATCTTTTCTGCCCTTCTTCTTGGCTTTCTTGATCTTAAATTCTCTGGCGTTTCCTCCACCGCTACTTTTCACACTTCCAGTGCCCTCTGGTGGAAAAACTACTTGATTAGCATGTGAAGTATTACTAAGTCAAGTGATGCTTTGACAAATATAATGAAATGAAACCAAAATCCTTATAAAAACAGAGAAAATAATAACCCTGACTATACTATGAAAGGAAACAGGAGTTACTATACCTGGATGCATAACCAAAGAAAGACAGAGCTAAGAGTATAGTATTTCAATATTTGTTCTAATTTCTACTTCATCAGTAAAGCAAACTGATCCTTATGAAAATGTGACTCAGACTTAAGTCAAATAAAAGATAACGGTAAAATGAAAGAAAGCAATGTCCACAGCAAGTTCCAAATCAAGATGAAAGGAAATGCATTTAAGCCGACTGACAATGAAATTAACACAGTTCAAGCAATGCTGAACAGGAAATATTCATGATTACTGTTTGCCTTTTGAACAGAACTATCATCTGCACATTTTATTTCAAATGACCCTCAACCAACTAATTGTAACACTTGGGCTACAACCCTATGGTCACTTTGCTGGGAGTAAGCCCCAATGAAATCAATGGGTCTCATTTCTGAGTAGAAGACAATTCTAGAATTGCAATTTGTGAGTGTCCCAATGCCATATGTTAAAACAATAATGTAAAATTCAAGTGTAGTTTTTATTTTGGCATACAATGGGTACTCTGTTTTGGAAGAAAAGCATTATATCAAACTTTGATAAAGTTTGTTAAGAGCCACTCAGCATAAATGCCACTATACAATCACAACTCTGGTTGATCACATTCAAGCTATTTGAAAAATTCAGTGTAAATAGTTTCTAAACTCTAGCAAATCCTTTTCATCCTCTCATTTGTAAAATGAAATTACTCAATTAAATGAATATTCCTTACTTTAGACTACAATCCTATGTACAGCTTCCCCTGAGCCCCATTGAATAGAGATGAGCTTACTTCTGAGTAAACATGCATCATATCGTGCTATCAGAACACAATCATTAACATCCTGACCAAAGCCTTATGGTTTGATAAACAGACTAAGCAATGGTAACATTATGTATATAAACGTGTGACTTGACATTTGCATTAATTACACGTTTGGGGGTGGGGAATGCTAATAAATAAGAGAAATGGCTATAAAGACATCACTGGTATAAATTCCTTCCATCTAATTACAGCTTTAGAGTCTGCCTTATATAGTGCTGTCTAGAGAGCTTCTATAGCCACCATGCCCTAGAAAACTCTGTTCTCTTGGGAGCTTTCCCCATCAATATGGATTTCTTGCAAACTCAATACTGAGTTCTTACTGTACATGTTCATATTCTTCCCCACAAACAACTAACCAATGTTTCTCATTGAGTCAAGTGTCTTACGGTGGGCCAAGACTACATAAATAAGTTGCGAGTGGTGATGGTGATGGTGACGATGAGAGGAGCTGTTCTGCTTCACATGTTCAGCTACAGAGTATAATGGCAGAGTTACCCTGCTCCCTCCAACAATCTTTTTCTTTGCATTTCCTTGAGCTGTCACCAAAGAAGAGAAGCAGTACTCTTTCTTCCCAAAACCTGCGTCGCTATTGTCAATGCTGTAATGAGGGAGAAGTCCTTGTCATGCCAACAGGACAGCTGCCAAACTAACAAGAAGAAACCATGGAATCAGTAACCAAGTAACTTATGCCTCCATTTTCTTACCTGCTGCTTTCTTTCTTCTTTCATCTTTCTTGTCTTTTTTACTTGAAGAAGCATTTTCTACAAATGCAGACTGCTTCAGGTCCTCTTCTGTGATTAAGTGCACAGGGTTATTTTTCATCTCCTAAAATGAAGATCATACATGCACCTGTTCATGTGAGATGCACTGGAACATACTGCAAATCCTTAAGGTTTCTGATACTATCTCCCCTCCTGTTTAGCATGGACGTAATGTCCCAGACACTCATAAGAGAGTGCAACACATGAAAGACACATACTCAGCTAATATCTGCATGAGGTATCCCATTTGTCAGGTCCTAGCAGAACACTATTACCTTAAACTTAGACACCATCCACTGAGCTGTGCTGGTTTTGATAGGAAGAAGATATGCAAGAAATATAAACAGAATAATCCCATTTTTTCCTATTTTACTCTGAAATGCAGCAACATATCTGTTTTCTTTGCGGTACTCTCACCTAGAAATAATCCCTAGGCCTAGACAACCTTTCCTTGCCACCTGCTGTTTTGTTCTTGATTATCACAGTAGGAAAGCCAAGAATCTGACAGTGACTGGCTTGAGATATGGAATATGGATGTACAAATTCAAGGAATATGAGCCAAATGTGATGGCATCCCAATATTCTCCCAAAATGTGTTGCACAACACTTACAAAACAAAGGTGTCATTTTTAACTATAAGCAAAATTAAATGTAAAACACAATGATGGACAATGCTGATTCCATGGGTAGGTAGTTCAGCTCAAAGACATAAAAACATCATTAATATGTGCTAAAGCCAGGCTTGCACAACATGTGACTTATCAAGCTGAATGCAGCCCACCAGCCAGAGATTGTTCTATTAACTGCAAAGACAGCTGGGGAAGGAGAGAGCACCTGATAGGCCACCCTGCATTACTGGTGAGCGGCACTGAGTTTGGTCGGCTGTAACTCATGCAGCCCTTTTCTAAAACAATGTGCTCAGAAACAAACCTTTTCAGCTTTCTGGTGCATCAGATCACTAAACAAATCAGTACAGCTGTTGATAAATTTCTCACTGACTACATTAGTGTCGCCAAAGACCAGAGTTGAAGGTTGTTTACTGAAGGATCTCATCACTTGCTGGAGCAACATGCTGGCATCTTCTACAGAGAATGAACTTGGAAGAAGAGGCTAGGAGCAAAGAAGCAAAGCCAAACAAAAACCATCACATTGTTATTTATTGTTCAACCAACTGGCTACAATATATACAGAGTTGTTTGTATAACTACCATGCATGATATTCATATCCAGGCAAAGAATTTAGCAGTCCTGAGATTATTTTTTTAATACTGCTAGTTTTTACAGCTGCAAGAAAAGGGTTTGAAAGGTGTCTGAACGATGCCAGGTGAAATCTCAAAAGTATGAGGTGAGGTGGGTATTGACTACCCTGAATAACTTTCTGCAGCAGAAAATAAATTATGCACATCTCTCTGCATTGACTCAATCTGCAGAGTTGATACTCACTGCAGAAATCAGCTTTAATAAGGTGCAGAATTTAGGTTACCTTGATGCAAAATCCTGCCTGTCTACTCATTTAATCTTTGTCTTGTGTTAGAGAGATGAATAGGTGAATAGGTGGATGAATGTACTTTAATAAAGAGGATTTTTTTAAACCAGAAAAACTGAAAATGTAAAGATGACATTGAGAGACGGGAGGTTGGGAAATCAAAAGCTTTTTGACAAAATAAATCTTTACAGCTTTTTGTAAAGTGTCAAAGCCGTTTCAAGCTACTTGCCATGTTTGCATTAAAATAATGTACAAATTAAAAACTCCAGGTAGAATATAAAGCCAATTCAAAAGGCATTTTATAACCTGCAGTATTTGATAACAGGAGTCTGTGCCCTCTGCCTGGATGATGACAGATAAACATGTAATTCCCTGTTTCTAGGGAGCTTGTTGGGGAAATTATTACTGCCACTTTGTACAAAACTGGTTTCTATCTATTGCAGTGAAGCAACTGTGAGCTAAATATGTCCACAAACCTACAGGCAAGTGGTGTAAAGAATTTTAAGCTGGAATTACAGAATGCTGTAAAACACACAAGTGTATTAGAGTTAACCTGTGAATTCAGTTAGTGGCTTTATCACTCTCTTTCAGTGCTGCCTGGGCCATAATTTATTTCCACTTCCAATTTTTCACACTACCTTTGGTAAATTAAAAATGCATGTGGCACCTATTTGGAGGAGTAAGTATGCTTTCAGTCTTCAAAGCTCTATAGCTCCCCTCGCCACACCCGATAAGGAACAGTTTCTATCACAAAGCTAAAAGCCGCTTTTGGATAAATGGAATACAGGAATACGTACTGTCTATTGAGACATAAAGCTTGATAGCAAATCTTTTTTGTTTAAGAACTGAAGTCCCATCTACAAAAATAGCATCTCAAGCAGTATTAGATTCTGCCACATCAACCCTAAGCTCTTGCTCAATATTGATTTGGCAGAAATTATGCTTTGAAATTAGGGCTTAATGCTTCTCAAGCTGGAACAAGCGAGACTAGCAAGTGATGACCTTTCAACTGCCATGTCCTTGCAAACTGCAGTAATCACTGCTTTAAATCTGTGGTGTATAATTTTCCTCTGTGTAACTGCATAAAATAGTCTCTGTTGCCACACAAGAACACAGGGAGCTTCCTTATATAGACAGATAATTGGTCCATTTGGTTCTGTGCTGCTGGCAGTGACTGGCAGTGGTTCTTGCAGGATCTCTAACAGGGTATCTATCCCCCATGACCCCACCAGGAAATGCCAAGGATTGGACCTGGGTCCTTCTGGAGGCAAACGGTTGTAGACAATGTAGCACTGTGGTGAATGTTTGGCAGCGCAAGGATTTCCCTTGCGTGATGGAAGATTCTCAAGTCTCTTACCCCAAACAACCTTGAAGTTTGCTCAACTCTCAGGAGATTTGGGGATGACGCATAGTGTGCATGACGGGGGAAATCTCCCTGCGCTAGTGCAAGAAGTTCAGTCATGACCTGTGCTGTGACCCCTTTTGAAAAATAAAGCCAGTGGAAAGAAATGAAAAGCAAAGAGCATACCGCTATATCCACCCACGTTCCAGAGCTGATGGCTTCATCCACGGAGGCCTCCACTTGATCCACAATTTCCTGACCAACACAAGATGATTTCAGAAACAACAGCTGCAAGGACTTGTACCTTTTCTTTATGTAGTTCACAGGGTCTGGGATGCCAAGTCTGGACAATGCATCAAATTCTACAAAATTACAGAGAGTCCTTGACTTTGAAGCAAACTAAACCGAAACAAAACAAAACAAAACTGGGGACAATGGGCTAGACATCTCTTGGTGGACACTGACCACCCTCTTCGCAGCCTCTCTGTGGCTTTTGTTTCTTGCTCACTCTGAAGCAGTAGGGAACCCAGGAGCTGGTGTTTGTATGTTAACTTGGTAAACTTGTCAGGTGGGCAAGGGAGGAAGTCTTCCACAAGTCTGCTCACTATATCACTCCCCAATAGGAGAAGCTGGCTAGCCTCCGTTTTCCCCAATACAACAGCAATAGCTTCACTGAACAGAATAATTGGGATGGTCTTGTCCATTCCCTGCGGTCCTGTCATGTGCGGATTGCCATGTGTGGATTAAAGAGTGGGACTAGGTCTGCTCTTCCAAACATGCCCTCTATTACCAAAGCTTACAGCTTCATCCAGGCCCAAAGGAGGAGCTCAGGAGTTCGTCCTTCTTCCAACTCAGGAACTATACTAGGGAACAGGGGATGGCGATGTTCTGCACTGCATTATCTCCTGCACTGGTGATCAGCAGTGGAGGCTGGTTATTAAGGGGAGTCAGCCCCCAGCTACTTGTCTTCTTTCTTCCAGCCAGCACAGAGGCTGGCACTGACTGTCAGCTTTCTCCTCCTTAGTTTTAGTGTTGCCCTTGTAGAACTCAAGAGGGATGAGGATGGGGACAAAACAAGAATTGGCTCTGCTGTTAGTGGCTCTGCCTACTGTTAACCTTCCTGCCCTACCAGTCTCAATAGGCGTCAACCATTACTGATGAGGAAAAATGGGATATATGAGGGTCAGAGGGAGGGGGAGATCTCTAAGAAATAGGCTTCTCTTGACCAGTAACTTTCAGAAAGAAAAGTTTGTTCAAAAGGGGTAAGTTACCTAAATAACCATTTTGCTTGAAAAACGAATCCACCCAGTTGCTCTGTGTTCTGGAGTAGATGTCAGGGATAAACACAGCCTTATCTTGCCTTCCACCAACCACTGTGCCTTTCAAACGTCCAGTACTAACAAGTTCTTCCAGCATAGCTGGGAAAAGAAACAAAGCAGACACAGCATTAGAAATACTTATGAATATGTGATTAAAAATACAGGGATTACAACCACAACTCAGAGGGATGTATGCAGGCCTATATTTTTTTCTGGACAAGTTAAATAATTTGAACACACAGACACACCTAGATAGATCGATGTTAAACTGTTCTCCTCTCACCTGCTTCCTGTAGTACAGTATATTATATATTAACAAGTGGGGAAAAGTCACAGGAAAACAGCTGTTTCTTCAGCACAGTCTCAGCAGACATTTGCAGTCAGCAACTGTCAGGGAAGACCAGTCCTGACAGCAACAGTGTGTGCTTTTTATCATTATTTACATTTTTGTGGGTGGTATGTCTTATTAAAACATTTTTTAAAAACTACATCAGCTTTGTTTGCCTGATTCGTACATGGGGTGTTATACACTAGTGTTGAAGAAATAATAATAATTTGAATGCATGTATTTAATATGAGCTTCATTTAGTTACTGTCTGATTTTCACTTTAGGTTGCAATGAATTAATTTAATTAAGATATTCTTATTTAGAACAAGGAAAATCTATATGTTGAAGGTGTGGGCAGCCAGAAAATGGTTGGCCAAAATAAATGCAAACTACATTAAATGATAGTGGTCAGGAGGAACGAACAAGAATGATATGTAGTAAACAAGAGCTGGAATAGTTTTAGGTAGCGAAAGCTCAGGACCGCAGAAGTCTTTTGGTAATGAGGCAGGGTTATTCCTCTAAGGCCACACCTCCTTTGCTGGTCCCCCAAAACAAGACAAACATGAAAGGTGCATTTTAATGGGTCAGTTTCAGTTTGCTTTTGAAAGGAGAAAAAAGTACGCAAGCTTCAAACCTTATCTTAATTGCCTCTTACTTAACACTTTCTGATATAACAAAAAATCAGCATTAAATAAGTCTGAACAAAACTCACAGTAAAGCAGATGCTCCTGAAATCCATGCCGAGTTATTAGGTTAATTATTGGCGTAGGTCTAAAGAGAGAAGTGATATATAAGAAACCAGGACACTCATACATAAACACTTAGGGCAGGATTTGGCATCTGTGAAAATCACCTCGGTTGTCCCGATCAATTTGCCCATCAACAAAAGCCCTGTGGAAGGACTTCCATGTGTGCAATGGGATTTCCCCTCCTTCTTTCCCTTTGCACAACCAAAATTGGTTTTTGGTGGGGGCTGGGAGATCCCCCATAAAAGCACATGGGGGATCTTTCCACATGGCAAGCCAAAATGTTTGTCCTCATGGAACCATCGCCTTAGCACAACAGTGAATCCTTCCTTAAATATCTTTATTTATTCCACATTGAGCACCAAGTTTGTGAATAGTGGAATAAAATAAATTGCTATTTTCTACTTCATAAACAGAATACTGTTAGAATATGTTATGCAACCACTAATGTCTTTTGTTTCCAGTTTTTTCACTGCTAAAGACAAGAAATTTGTGGAGATTTTGCAGGGAGGAAACGTTTAAGGATGGGACGTCAGTAGCTGTGTAAAGATTTGGAATTTTTTTTATCGGAAAAGTAGGAGCATGTCCAACTTTTGTCTATTTATGGGAGCAGATTCTTTGATGAAAAGCCAGAGCCAAAGTGATGCAGTTGCCATTGCTATTGTAATTAAAAACAGTTACGTTTGCTCTGGAAAATTTAATCTTGCTTTTATGCAGGAAGTGTGTGCATATCTCACACAAGGAGCAGATAATCAGAGCTGTTTATCCCAAAACAGAAACGTGTCTTTCAATTTACCTGGTAATGGCAGTGAACAGACCACGGATACGGGCCCGATGCCGTGTGACAAATGCATCTGTGAAAATCACTCCTCGGTTGTCCTGATCAATTTTCCCATGGATAATTTTGCCCAGGCGGATGGAAAATGCCTGAGAACATAAACACAGCAATTAACCGGAGAAGCCATTTGACGTTGCACTGTTTTTACATTTTGACTTTATGCTGCTTTTAGCAGGCTTTTAATACGTGCATGTGGATTCAGCCTTGAGACAGGATTTGATGTTAGACTACAACCAACCATTAATCCACCACTGCTTCTAGGTACAGATAAGAGGCCCCTCTTCAGAACTTGAATGCTCAGGAAGACAATTAAGCCAATGTAGAGAGCCTTACATTCCTGCTTACTATGATGGGACTTGAGAGTAAGGAAGCTCTGAAGTACTAGGATTAAGTTTTTGCAGCTGATGAATGCCTCGACCTTCTGTAGTCCTACTGGTACATTCTGAAAAATACTCAATGGATTCAAGCGCGATAAGTGTTTCAAAAATTTGTGTAACTTGGAATTATCCTTCAGCTTGAAACTTTGGCTGTGCTCTGTGTCCCATCTGTCAATGGCAGCAGATTTCTAAAACCTTTGGTCTGGATTCTTTTATTTGGATTTCATCTTATTTATTCTAAAACATTTCTGTGCTTAAAAATGAAGGTCTTTCTGGCAAAACGCCATTTAAGAGGTAGAAAGGCGGGCTTTCCAAGCTTGGGCATAGTTCCAGGGCCCTAATCAAATACATTTCAGAGATTATTGGAGACAGCCAAGATGACTCAGTTAAAGATCTTAAGAAGCCTTGTATGCAACCCTGAAATCTAACATAAAAGGTGGCATGTTTTAAAACAAATGTTATAAATGAATGCTACCCCCAAGCCAAACGCTCTAATGTTATTTCAGAGTCACCTCCTCACATCAGAGTCTTGCAGGAGGGAATGTTGAATGAATGGAAGATTGGGGGCCAAACAGGGAGAAAACCTTGAATTGCTGCTGCCTTATCGATGAAGCTGTGAAGTGGAATCCTGCTGTGTATTGCTGTTTTAAAGCAAACAACAACAACAACAACAACAACAACAACAACATGATGTCCAGAAGGCAGGAATTGACACCTGTCATTCTTACATAGAAATCCATGTTAGTACCGAGAAAAAACATGTGACGTGGCGGATCTCTGACCAATTTTGAAGTATAATTAAAGTTCTTGCATCAAGATTCTAAGAACTCTTGTGCAAAACAATATGCACTTCAGTGACAGAATCCCTGAAGTTGCACCAGTATTAGATCACACGCAATTACATTACTTGGAACTTTGCATGTACTATTGACGTAAACAGGTTCTCATGTGTAAATAAGACATAATGTAGCCCATTTTGCTTCCTAAGTTGAGGCCCTATCCAATGTTCCCATTCTGCTAATGCAAGAGACTTGGGTTTGCAGAACAGAACTATCTCCATTCCTCTTGTCTGCAGTCCCCTGCATGCCCTCAAAATAAACTCTGGAGTTGGGGGACCCCAGAAAAAAAATTGGGATGAACACAAGGGGAGGGAAGAAATGCAAGTGCTATGCAGTGTTGTAGCTATGGGGGGGGGGCGTAGCTGGTTTTTTGCCCTGTGTGAAGCCTCCAGAGGGGCACCATTAAGGCTTCCAGCCTGTGTGTGTGTGCCAATGCCTGAGTTGGTGTGCCCAACCAGGTCTTTAACCTACGTGAAATAAAGCCTAGTTTTGCTCCTGGTGCTATAGATACCATCCTTATTTTCCTGGTATGTTAGGAAAATGCATTTTTGCTCATCTGGCTGCAAACCACCACATTGGGGAATCAACAAACGCTTCCAATTTCTACAGCCCAATGGTCTGTGCTAACCAATGACTACGGATCTTAAGAAATATTTTTGCCTTTTCAGAGAATCTTACTGAAGTACTAGATCAGGACTGCTTCACTTCCCTATTATTAGACACAGTGGCTGCCAGGAAATTAGATTCAATACTGCAGTCACAGTATTTAGAAGCAATAAGCAAATTAAAACCATGTTAGACTTTAAGTACCATAAGAAAAGACGTTGTCAAACTTAGATCACAAGCTAGTGCATTTGATACTGGAACTTATTATCATAATAGTAATGACAGGTGAAGTATCACATGCTTTAGTGAAAAGTTGGTCATTTTCATATTGATTACCTGCTTCAAGAAATCTCCAGGAAGGTCATATGCCTTGCACAAATCAGATATTTTCACTTGCCCAGATTCCTGTAACTTGTCATTTGTTTCTTCTGCTATCTGATCTAGGTAATTCCTAATATGGGGGAAAAAGTAGTATAAAATTCCAAATTTGCCTTGCGTGCTGTAACATTATTTGCTTTTAGTAATCCTATATACTGGTAGTACTATATGAAAACATTAAGTGTATGTTGCGTCTACTACAAACTTTGTAAAAGATGTGATCATTCTCCCTCAAACAGAAGTTACCATTAGTTTTCATGTTTTACAAAACTGATAAAGCAAATGTAATTCTTCATAGTGTTCTGTTGCTTGATATATCTCGTCTGAAGCTCATTTCTAAAACATAAAGATTGTAGGCTGATATTGGAGTTTAAACTGAACAGCACCCATATCTGATATCACAGCAAACATATGGTCCATGTCAGGAATAGAACACTGCATATATACTAGATATAAGCTGCGATTTAATCAGGTTGTCATTATATATAGGTAATTTGCCCAAGGCCCATTAGTCCAGCATCCTAATTCTCACAGCTGGCAACCAGATTCATATGGGAAGCCTGCAAGCAGGACCTGTGTACTCCCTATTTGTTTTTTCCAGCACCCGATTCTTAAAGGTGATACACATTACACTAAGTAGTAAGAGTTCCTTGCACACTGTGTCTCTCTTTCAAACGACTCAAGAGGGCAAACTACTTGCTGCTGATGCTAAGGAGTCTCATCCATCTCCTCTACACACACTGGGCATAAAAGGGACACAAAGCCCCCCCCCTTTTAATTTCCAGAGCTTTTTCTGTCTTTGTCTCAGCAGTAATGAGGAAAGTTTAAAAGCCTTCCTTTGCATTAGCAAGCATAAAACAATACAGTGGTGCCTCGCAAGACGAAATTAATTCGTTCCGTGAGGCTCTTCGTATAGCAGTTTTTTCGTCTTGCGAAGCAAGCCCATTGACAGCTTAACGGATTAGCGCTATTAGCGGTTTAGCGGCTTTTGGCAATCAGCTGTTAAGCTGCTTATCAGCAGATCAGCTGATAAGCGGCTTAGCGCTTAGGAAAAGGGGGGGGGAGGGAAAAAACCCCGAAGGAACTCGCAAGACTTTTTCGTCTTGCGAAGCAAGCCCATAGGGAAATTCGTTTTACGAAGCGCCTCCAAAACGGAAAACCCTTTCGTCTAGCGGGTTTTCCGTCTTGCGAGGCGTTCGTCTTGCGGGGCACCACTGTAAAGTGGTTCTCAAATGTTTGTATGACTTCAACTGCTAGCTTGTACAAAAGCAGTGGAGTACATTCTCAGACACAATGCATAATTATTGGCTTCCATTTCCTCATTCTGGATTAATCACATCTAAAAGCCCATTACACATTTACACTGTATTTAATCACTCTTGAAAGAACTCACTCATCTATAAGCTGCCCCAATACTAGTTGAACTGTTCGGTCTGATTTGACAAGGTCATTAGCTCGGTTTTCAATATGGAGCAGATCTACATTTACTACCTGCAGGGGGGGAAAAACAGGTTAGCACCTAGAATTCAAAGCCATCATCTGCTGTTAAAATGATACACTTTCACATTCACAAACCATTACACACTAGCTACTTTTCAATAATTCAGATACAGGTGTATCTTAACTGAAAAAGAAAACGTGATATTGGAAAAGAAAATAGCAATCAAGACAAGTTAACACACAAGGTAATAAAATCTTTAATTATTATGAAAAGTGTCAGAGACTGCCTCCAGGTCCCAGCTCACAGAGGACCAACGCTAGCCAGTAGAACTGTACAAAAGTCTTTATTGAAGCATAGTTTCCATTTTCAAACCCTAGCGTGCGTCTCTACGTCTAGAGCCTAGACCGATGAAGCTCCGTCTGAGTCTCCGCCCCCTGTACACCAGCTTAAGACTCTAGCCTTACTCCACCTCTTCCGTCTCTCCTTCCGCCTCTGGGTCCTACCACCCCCCGGGGTCCCTTCCTTCCTGGACGCTTCGGAAGCGGACCCCTCGGACTCTTCCCCCTCCCTTCGGCGGGCTTTAGGACCTGGCTCCCTATCCGGGCTGCTCATCGCGCCACCCTCTTGTACATTTGAACTTGGCTCGCGCGCGCTGCCTCCGACCTTCCTTTTGACCTTCTCCTCACTCTCTGATGCAGGCGTGGCTAACCCTGACTCATGTCCTTCCGCTGACGGAAAGCTGCCTGATGCCGATGCCTGGGACTCCTCCCCCCTACTGCTCTCCGGTGGGGAAGCTGGTCCCGATTTCCAACTGCTGCTCTCTGAGTCCCCTCTGGCCCCTCCTTCCTGGGGTGTTCCCTCTGGCAACCCCCTAGCTCTGACCATGGGAGCCCCTTTCTGTGAATCCTCCGATTCGCTGGAGAGACTTAGAGACCTCGGGCGGCTATCCTCGCTAACTTCTCCCTCGGATTCCTCCCCCTCGGTCTCTAATTCCTCCCTTTCCTGTCCCTCTGCTCCTGAGCCCCTGACAAAAAGCTTCAATTTAGCTGAAGCTTTCAGATGGAAAAAGGTTGGCAGAAATGAAATATTAATTCCCTGACTGTTTCAGCAATCAGTCATTGTTATTTGTGCATACTGTGACATTTAAAAAGCCCAATTTCCTTGATAGGCTAAAACAGGCTTCAAAAATTAAAACAAGTGTTCTGGGGTGCTTATGCTGATGAACAGTGCGATTATGTTGCTCCCATTCTCTGTAATTTTATAATAATATATAAAATTACAGAGAATGGGAGCAACATAATGGAACCTACAGAGACACCACAGTTAGTATAAATGAAATATAGGTTAGCAGCTAAGTGTTTATACTCTACTCCAGAGGTGGGGAATCTCCAGGACACGGGACAATTTGGCCTTCTAGGTCTTTCCCCCAAAACCATGCCCACCCAGATGACATTACTGGTGGTGGGTGGGTGGACAGGGTTTAATGCTGCACTGGCTGTGCGATCCTGTTCCCAGCAGGTAACAGGACTGTGTAACCTAGAGGCAGAATTTAATCTCCACCCGTCAGCTAATTGCAAGATTGCAAGACTGGGGACTTAAAAGGGAAGGGGGGGGACCCATCCGTACACTATTCAGTAACTATTTAGGTTTCCATACGCTACCCACTTACCTAGGAGTAAGCCTCACTGAACACAATGAGACTTATTTCTGGGTACAAAACCATTAAAAACAAATGTGTATTTCAAATTGGACCAATTAAGTGCAGATAAAAAGTATTTATGCTTAAAGCAAGTTACCTGTTGCAAATCAACAATGTTTACACGACCTGTAATAAAAGAAAGAATATATTAACAAATAGATTTTAATGCATAATATAGAAAGTCATAGACAAAGGAAGTACATTTTAATGAACTGTTTTATTATTCTTTACGTTCTGATTTGAAACTTCCAGCATGCTTTTATGCATGTTGTCTGGGAACTAACCCTGCTTGCTAAATGGAATTTACGACCATGAAGTGTGACTAGGACTTCCTTTATACATAATTTTTCCAGCATAGTTGCAACTGCCTCTAAGTTTCTTGCATATTTGTACAATTACATGTAAAGGCATCTACACATCCACATGGAAGCAAGTCATGCCACTTGTGTAGAAATCTTTACACATACCTGGACCAGCATGATATTACCTATAAAGGTGGTGGCAGCAGCAACATCTGGAATAGCAAAGAGTATTTTGCAGGCACGCTCTAGATCTTCCATGCACGCTAGTACAGCAACTTACATCAGTGGAGGGAAAGCTTTCAAAAAAGGTCTATACATGAATGTGCCCCCACTTTGAAATGAAATTGGAAGAGCTTGTGAAAAGAGTTGTGTGCTCATTAAAGTGCACAAGAGTTTGTATCATTTGCACTATGGTAAACTCCACTGAAATAAGTCTGTTAATCTGCATAAAGAATAAGATTTCTGTTGATGAAGCCTGCTGGTAGCTAATGCTTTGGTCTTAAACTAAACAAACAATGGCATGAAAAACCAAAAGGCCTTTGCCTTTATTCCTGTACTCAGCATGAAAGGGATGCTACAACTTCAGATATCAACTGATACAGTGGGTGCCTTGCAAGACGAAATTAATTCGTTCCGCAAGTCTCTTCGTCTTGCGGTTTTTTCGTCCTTGCGATGCACGGTTTCCCATAGGAATGCATTGAAAATCAATTAATGCGTTCCTAGGGAAACCGCCTTCAGACCAGGTCCGGGGACAGACTGTCCCCGGACCTCTTCTGAAGGCTGGGGGGGGGACAAGGGCTTTTCTCCCACCCCCAGCATTTAAAAAACCCTGGGACAGCGGAGGACTTCTCCGCTGTCCGGGCGATCTTAAAATGCTGGCGGGCGGGCATTTTAAAATCGCCCCGGGAAGCGGAGGACTTCTCGCTGTCCGGGGCGATTTAAAAGCCCCTGGGAAGGCAGGCAGGGGGGACAAAGACTTTCGCCCCCCCGCCCGCCTTCAGAAGGTGTTCCCGCCCCCCCCCCCCGCCCGGCTTCGCAGCAGCGCTACGAAGCCCGGCGGCTGGGGCAGGTGTTCCCGCCCCCCCACCCCGCCTTCGGAGCAGCGTTCCGAAGCGGGGTGGCTTGGGGCAGGTTGTTCCCGCCCCCCCCCCCGCTTCGCAGCAGCGCTACGAGAGCCCGGCGGCTGGGGGCAAAGTGTTCCCGCCCCCCACCCCGCTTCGGAGCAGCGTTCCGAAGCGGGGGTGGCTGGGGCAGGTGTTCCCGCCCCCCCACCCCGCTTCGGAGCAGCGTTCCGAAGCGGGGTGGCTGGGGCAGGTGTTCCCGCCCCCGCCTGGCTTCGCAGCAGTGCTACGAAGCCCGGTGGCTGGGGCAAGTGTTCCCGCCCCCCCACCCCGCTTCGGAGCACCGGGAGAAGCGATCTCCCCGCAGCCCCTTGCTTCAAAAGAGGTCCGGGGGCAGACCTCTTTTGAAGCAAGGGGCGGTGGGAGAAGCGATCTCCCCACCGCCCCTTGCTTCAAAAGAGAAGACCCGCTGTCCCCGGGGCAAGCTTCGTTTTGCGAAGCAAGCCCATAGGGAAATTCGTCTTGCGAGGCAACTCGAAAACGAAAAAACCTTTCGTTTTGCGAGTTTTTCGTCTCGCGAGGCGTTCGTCTTGCGGGGTACCACTGTACTTGCCAGGAAGAAAGCTCCCTCAATTATTCTTTTCCTCATACCCTAGGAGTTTAATTGTTACCAGCAGTGGCACAGCTACTGTTCAAACCCAATCTTGAGTGAGGCAACTGGCAACTTCCAAAATGGGGAAAGAGTTCATTTTTTAAAAAAAGAAAACTGTGCTGGGGTGGGGGGTAAGAAACCCTTCTTCTGATTCAAACCCATGCTTCTCATGGGTGCTTTTTATGAAAAATGCAAGGGATGGAATAGCTAATGACAGTTTGGCTCTTACTCACCTTTCAGATAGGACCAGACAGCTTTGTAAATACAACTGAATTCTCTGTTACAATCCTGTCTCCAGTTTCACTTAACCTTTTACACAGTTTTTTTACAACTTTCCCATTCAGTGCAGACAATGTATGTAACATACCAGAATAGTGCTAAACTGTGCTTGCAATTCCACATAAAAATATCCTACATAATTCTTTGCAGTTCCTTTTAAATGATAAATGAACACTGAGTATTCCAAATTCAGCAGCAGCTTGAGAGGTAAGTGGAATGACATAGAGGCTGCAGTCCTATACCCACGTATCTGGGAGTGAAGCCTACTGAACTCAATGGAATGTAGTTCTGAGTAGACATGTATGGGACTGCAATGTAAAGTTACCAAACATTACCATTATTAGATGAGCCCTGGGTCCCTTCCAAGCTAGGATTCTGCCACTAGCAGTTTGGATAATCAGAATTGCTGCTTTTGTTTTTCACCCCACCCCTAACTGATCTTGAAGATATGTCATCAGGAGTATTTTTCTAATGGTTATTTTACTTTGGCGAGTCCATTCGCACTATGAAATAGTGTTAGAATTATGACCCTTAAATGTCTTGATGGGAAGGATACATGTTTCTATGTATTTTTATTTTCCCAAAGCAAATGACCTTTAAAGTTTCTTTCTCTGTAGTTGAGCTTGTAAACATATTTAGAAATAATATTTTTTACACACTTACCACCATGAACATGAAGTTCATCACGGATCTCTCTGCTAATCTGCGCAGGAGTAATATACTCTTTTCCATCAAGAGTATGCACCACTTCCAGCTGTTTTTCAGCAATCAACTTAGAAACGATCTCTATGCAATTACGTTCCGACAGTCTGCATACATAAAAGAACAGCAAAACATCTTGCATGAGAACCTGACAACTTGATTTTAAACAAGTGCTACTTCATTTCTAAGACAACCTGGAGAAGCTTTAGCAATCTATTTATGCCACAGAAATTTTCAGTTAAGACAAGTGTTTCTGACAGATCGACAATACAATCAAATTGTCCCTTAACGCTCTGTCTTACTGCAAACACAAAGCAGAAAGGTGAGTTTCACTGCCACCACACCATGCTTACAGGTTAAGCAGGGATTCTTATCAATATTAATAAAACTGGGAATCTTACTAGGGGTCTGTACTCCAGATTAACTGGTGCAAAACAGGCAAGAAAGTTGTTTATTGGGGCTGATCAAACTTTGTGGAGCTTCATATATACTGATTTCCAACAGCTTTCTCCCCACACCTTAAATTCCAAGGCATTTCCCAAATACCAGAATAGCAACTTGTAGGTACATTCAACACTGGATGTCTAATGCAGTTTTCACAGAATTACTGCAGATTTTTTTAAATCTTCAATAGATTATATCAGAACTTGAAATGTAACATCGTATTGTGTTTTTGGATAATATTGGTTACCATTCTAAATGCACTGAGTAATGGACATCAATGGATCTTTTTTGCAGCTAAATGGAACAGAAGTTTGTATTGTGTTATATGGCCATTCCACAAACAAAAGCAATTGCCAGCCTTATCACAAGCTCACAAAAACACTGTCTGCTAAATATTAGACCTTGTGGACTGCCATGGGCTTTTCAGTTTTATATTATTATATTAAAAAATAATACAAAACAGTATGCAGTAATACATATTCTGAAAATGTCCAAACATGTATGTCGAGTCATACTTTCTTAGTTCTGTTCTCATATATTACACACACACATTCATATTCAACCATCATCACAGTAATCAAAGGTCCAGTACAATTCTTTCAACGGCAAAGCCTGCTAAAATAAGCACTTTGACAAAACTCCCAGAAATGATTTTCAGGTGGCCCAAGAGTTACCCTTTTTGTGCTTTCACAGCAACATTGCAGGCTGTGTTTTACTGAGCTGGTGCAGCCCTTTAGCTTTACAGTACATGCATCTTAAAAGACCCCCAGTATTACAGTACTGGGATGCAACTTCCACGGACTAAAGAGTCCACTTCATGAGGAGCAGGCCGAAAGCTTATTCCCCAAATAGGTATGTCAGGAGCTACAAGACCCTTTTAAGTGCTTCTGCTGCAAAGCAGGCCAACATAGGAGATTGATATACAGTGGTACCTTGGGTTACATACGCTTCAGGTTACAGACTCTGCTAACCCAGAAATAGTGCTTCAGGTTAAGAACTTTGCTTCAGGATGAGAACACAAATCACGTGCTGGCGGTGGCAGTGGGAGGTCCCATTAGCTAAAGTGGTGCTTCAGGTTAAGAACAGTTTCAGGTTAAGAACGGACCTCCGGATCAAATTAAGTACTTAACCCGAGGTACCACTGTACCAGGAAAGGCCTCGGGCGCTTGTTCAAATGTTAAATGCACGGGGGACCTGTTGACACGTTTGCAGGATGCGTGGGAAAGGGCAGCAGCGAGCAAAGCACGGATTCCCAAGGCGGATAGGATCGCTGCTGCTGCTGCTTCACTGGCTATGCCTTTGGCAGCAGCACCTTTAGCAAATGAGTATTATCCGGATGACATTTTTCTCTAGGCCAGGAAAAGCTCTAGCCCCGCTGTACTGCATTTCTGGATGCCAAGGTTGTTAAAAGCAGAGCACGTGGAGCGGGGATGAAAACAACAACAACAGGCAACCCTACTTAAGAGCATTACGGCACTAAGGTGAGCAGAGACCCCTTCCCTGCTGAAGGGCTGCGCCGCTTTTAGGGGCATTACGGGTCGCGGCCCAGAGGGACGCCGTTGAAGCGGCTGCTGAGCACGGAATGAAGGAGCCTCGGGCTCGTCGCGCGAGATCCCGTGGAAAGAGCGAGATTCGTCCGCGCGAGGGGGGCTCGCGGGTGGCTCCTCCCCTTCCCTCCCCCCCCCTCACCTCTGCGTCGCCTGGGCGAACTGGGCGGATTGGAACTGCTGGGACAACTTCAGGATCTCTTCCCAGGTAGCCGCCATGGTTGCCCCGCGTCCGAGGAGGGGGCGGGGAAAGGGGGGGGGAGGAGGAGAAGGCGGCGGCGGCGGCGTGGGAACGACGAGGCCTCTGGCACTCACACGTCAGCTCAAGAACGTTCCGCGGACGGAGCGCGGCGGCGGACATTCCTCTGCCGTTTCGGGCAGAACGCGATCTGGCTGCCGCGGCAGCGCCACCTGCAGGAAGACAGCTGCCACTGACGGTGCGCAGGGGAATGAGGAACACATATACACACGCCCTCCGCCCTCTCACCGTCTGCAGGGGGATCCGCGTGCAGTCAAAAAAAACATTTTAGGGAGTCATTAAATTGCAACGTGCACTGATGCCCCCCTCTCCTGGCTCTTGGCGTTTTCGGAAACATCAAATCCCGCCTCTAGTGTCTCTTCCCCAACGGAACGCTTCCTAAAATAAATCAATAGGACCGCAACCGTTGTGAACTAGCAGGACAAATGCGTGATCTAAAATGATCTAAATGTGCTTGAAACATTGTAGAAAACAAAGCATAATGAGGTAATTAATTGCTGTGGGTTTGTGAGCGCCGGTCACGTCGGAAGGAGCCCACGAGGGCTTGCCTGCTGGCACACGTGGACCAGGTTCTATCCTGCGCAGAACATGGTACCCGATCTTCCGAGGGAGGCGCAGCCTTCTCCGTAGGTTCGTTCCACAGGAAAATATCACCAAGTTGGGGTATTTAATATGTGCGCTGTCTGGATCCACCCATTCCAGTAGTTTTCACACACCACCCAACAAATAGATGGGACAGCCTAAAAACGTGCGTTTACTAATGCCTTCCTGGCATGCGAGACTCTTGCAATTCCCTGCAGCTGCCACTGCACACTTAAGGCACATGAAGCTGCAGATGTGGGGCAGGTGGCCTGGCACCACAGGGGTAAAGCCACCAGAGGGGAGAAGGGCCTGCAGCCGCAGTTCTGCACACTTGGGATACCCTGAGTCTTGGAATTAAAACTGGGCTGGTGCCAATGGGCAGCATCTTCTTTCACACACTTTTTCTGAGAACAACTCAATAGGTAGAGGAGACATGGTGGAGGAAGGCCCTTCAAATGTGACAAACTACAACAAGCAATGCAAACCAGTTGTTTATCGTGCTCCTCTTAGATTTTCAAGTGACTTTTTCAGCTTTGCTGGCAAGAAAAGATCACAAAAACAATTTTGTCTCTTTGTACAGATTCATTTGAGGGTGAACAATGGCAGACACTGGATTGATTTTTTTTTAATTGCTGTGCCAATATTTTAACACTGATTGATGGCCATTTGCAAAAAAATTACAATGAATTCAGGTTTAACATACATTTTACATTTCACCAACTGTATCATATTGATTCACTCTGGGAAAAGCCATTTGCCTACCCTAATTAGAAACAATAAAGGAAAATGCCAAGGTATTAATGTTGTCAAAATGAATCAATGCTGTAAGTGTGACAAACTATGTTACAAAATATTAATATACCCATAGGTGTTTGCCATCACTGATCATTCACATAGGAACAAACCACATTGATTAACCACGTGTGAGTTAATGGAATATTATGCCATTCCTATATCTTCTGTTCAGAGTCACTGAGGGCTTCTCTGAGATTCTTGAGACTGAGGACTGTATACAGCAACACAGAAATATTTGATAGTTTTAAGAATAGTTAAGACTTTTGTTTTGCCCACATTTTTATTTGGTTTATTTTGCATGGACAGGGCACTAAAAAGAAAGGTGGTGCCCTACTCTGTCAGACTCAAGACACCTTTGAAGGTGGCATGGAAGGACAAACTCCACTCCCTGATAGGAATGGTGAGAAATAAATGTACTTTCCATTTGAATGCAAACCCAACTAATTTGCACTTCCTGAACCCATATGTGAACCAAAACATTTCGCGAACTACACCTGGGAGTATGCCTCATTGATCTCAATGGGACTTACTTCACAGGGGTTTATTGAGACTATTTATTTTACCTCGTCTGTTGAATACCAGGCAGCATCTTTTCAGTGGAGGACAGATACAGTTTTAATGCTCTCAGGCTTTTGCACAGCTTGAAATCAAATTTATTGTCGTATTAGTAGGATAGGTTGAAAAATATGAAAGCTGGATTAGCCACCTGCTTGTCATCGTGCAGCTAAAGACTTGAATGAAGAAGCTTGAGGAGCCTGCCATTTGTGGAACAACTGGTCATTATGGAAGGATGCAGCTATACAGAGGATCACATTTTTATGCAAGCAGAAACAACACTGCAGTTAGCATAGCATCATAATTTTTGCATTCCCCTTTTCCATGGTAAGCCATGCTCAAAGTGGTTCACATTGAAGAGTTTACACAAGATAATTCACTAACTATTCCAAGGTTCAACAAAAGGTAAATAATCATATAAACGATGGAGTAATGGAAATATCTCATATTGATAAAAAAAATCAAATGATCCACTGATAACTTATAATAAATAACATCTGATAATAAAATGATAAAACAATCCACATAATAGCAAAAACAATGCATCTCCAAAAACAAATTTTGATCTTCACCAACAACCACTAAACAATCCCCCACCATGATGGTTTTCAGGCTCCTTGAGCGGCAGAAGCAGCCTTTATAGCTGGCCTTGGTGATGGCTTTGCCCTCTCAGCCTAGATGAAAATGGGCCAGACAGAGAACAGGGACAATGCCTCACAGGACTCAGAGTGAGATGGGACCAGCTTTCTTTAGGCACCCAGTTTGAACACAGGAAGGGGAAGTGGGAATGTGTGGGGCAACTAATGCATCACCATCAGAAGGTGGGGAGCAGCAGTGTTATGTGTAAGTTCTAACCAATGTTAGAACTTGCACCAGTTCTAGTACCTTACCCCCACACAATTACAAGAACTGGAGCAGTCTGTACTTGTGTCTGTGTCTTCCTTTAACACCCTCAGTATACCCAGCTATGCCCAAGCAGGAACCAAGACCACTGTACGGCACCTTTGCCAGCTGAGGAGTATGTATATGTGTGTGTATGTATGTATGTATGTATGTATATGCATGCTGCTTATTTAAATAGCAAGAAGATTAAAAAAGAAAATCCTAAAAGCAGTGATTGGATACTTCAGATTTTCAGTAAGTCGGCCAAGTGTCTCCAGGAAATTTTTTCTTCTCTGAGACCTCATTATTCGTTAGAAAAGTTAAATCTGCCACAGTTTTGCTATTAGCCTTGGGTTACCTAACTACTTTTGCCAGCACTGAATTGTGCCTCAAAGTTAACTTCCAAGGAAGGATGTTATAGAACCCCCAATGGCTTCTTCCTAGTAGGATGATGACTAACAAATGGACCTCAGAAGTTTATTTCAGCTACAGCAGAGAGCAGGGCAAGTCAGCAAAAGGATCAGTGGCCAGTTGATAAGAACAGGGAGCTGTGTTAATACTACAGGTGGTTCAGTGCTTGAAACCAAAAGTGAAGGGAACAAAGTCCAGACACGAAGTAGGTCACAGGTGCTCCTCTGTAAGAGTTAGGATATCTCACCCATTGCTCTCAGGAAAGAAACCCTTGACCGTGAGACACTGCATAAAACTCACACTGCTGAAGAAAACTAAATGAACTTTCAAACATTTTTATTGAACCTGAGAGGGAAAGATACTAATTTATACTTACACCTGGCATTTGTAACCAAGGCCAGCAGTCCTGCTGTCTGGCTAGTCCTGCTGCCTCCTGCATACCTAGGAATGGAGGAAGAAATTGTCCCAGTTCACATTTAAAGGCAAAACTGTCTAATTTGCATTCTTTTTAAATTCAATAGCAGGCAATACAACATATACAGCATCCTTTACAGAGTACAGAGGTTCAGAATAAAGAAGACACAGAAAAGGGACAAAAAGTGTAGAAATAACCATTATTCTTTTTCTTGTTCTTATTTATTAAATTTATATACCGCTCATTATCCGAAGATCTCAGGGTGGTCCACAAAATAAATAGTTAAAAGAAAAAAACAAAATAATAACTCTTCTCCCATAAACACGTTTAAAAGGCCGTAAAATATTAACCAGATAGAATATATCAACCACATCTGTTTAAATGCTGTTGGTGGAATATTTGCCATGCTCCTGGATATTAACGGAAGTCGCAAAATCATACCAAATTAAAATAAGCATCGCTTTTAAATCGGCCTCTGAATACTCTCAGTTTGTGCATCAATTGTGTTCAAAGTCACTGAGAGGGAGATTTATAAATGCTAAACATCAAATAGGACCTCTGGTAATAAGGATTCTGCCTGAGCAGCACTGATATCAATCTCAGATTACTCTACTTCTGATGGACGGGGGCACCCATTTGGGCTCTGCTTCAGGCAGGTAGCAAGCTGTCTTGGGCCAGACCCACACTGCAAAAAGGGTCAAATTGGCTTAGTGGATACAGGCTCCTCATTTATGCCCTGCTGTGATCTTGAAGATTGGCCAATAGTGTGTAAGCGAGCAACATGCATGTGATTCCCAAGAGATCTCAGACCGAGACCTGCTGCTTAATTCAGCAAAGTGTTGGCATTGTTGCACCTTCAAAGCATACTTTCTGATGGTAATGATGCCACATCTTATTTACGTATATGATGTTAGCCGCTCTGAGCCCGGCTCTGGCAGGGGAGGGCGGGGTACAAATAATAATAATAATAATAATAATAATAATAATAATAATAATCATCCCATTCTGGTTCCTAGTCAGCATCCTCATAGCCGTGACTGCTGCAGTGGGCACACAACTCACCACTGTGCATGTTGTTTTCTGGACCAGAGGAAATCTGCCCCCAATAAGATCTTGTGGAAGGAGAAGAAACAATAACGTTTTCCACTGAAAATCATGTAATCTGAACTGTAGACAATTTGATCTTCCTTTTATTCTTGGCTTTCATTATGCAGTGTTGCATGTTTCATGGTGAGACTGGTGTTAAGATTATTAACTTTTCTTTTTAATGCTGTATCGGACTAATTTAAAAGCTGGGGAGAAGCTGCTGCTGGAGTTTGATATGAGGATTAGGGAAACAAAATAAGAATTAACTTGAGAATTTATGTTTCCAGCCTCCTCCTTTCTAGAACGAATTATGCTGTGAGTTAG